CATCACCAAACAGCTGGCAATGTTTAATCCACCATATCCTGATGGGGTTATCTTAATTGGCAAGTGCCAAGAACCTCCCCATTTAGCCCAACGGTGGCTGTAGAGTGAGTTGACAGTGGTTGTAAGGCTGGTTTGATGGGCCCCTCTGCTTGCAGGCATGACGCCCCTCTGATGGGCTCCCTCAGTCCCCCTGCCCTGATATGCTCAGGAAAGACATGGACACAACTGCCAGCAGCTCATGGAAAGAAAAAGCAGAAGAGACAGCAACACAGGCCCGCAGACATCTTCACCCTGCAGGTGGGGAGCACAGCACTGGCACACAACTGAAAATGAAAATGTCACTTGATTTACATCAAGGAGCAAGTGGCCTGCCGGCCCTGGAGTGTCAGATCCACTGCTCAAGCCAAGCCCCATGTCTATAGGAGTCAGCAGTAATTGCTTCACTGATGCCTCCAGCCTCAAAAGCAGGACTTGAAGCCTGCTGGGGAGGTCCCTTTCTCTACACACTCCTGTTTACTAACAAGCCAACTGTAAACCTAATGGATCAGGAGTAAAGATGAGATTGCAACTCCTTTTGCTAGATGTGGACATGAGAGAGGTGACCACAGCCCTCAGCTCATCCAGGAGATGTTCACTGAGTCATCGATCTTGCTGCTTGTCCCAAGTTGGCATTGTAGTGCCTCTCTCTGTGGTAAAGCAATTATCATGCATATCTTGTGCTCTGCAGAATTACGGTTATTTGAAACGGTTACACTAATCTGGCTTTATTTATTTATTTACTTGTTTATTAATTATTTTTAGACCTGTGTTGAAGAGGGCTTTTTGAAGCATCTCTAGGAGAGAGGCAGATGCCATAATGCATAGATCACATTCATTTTTTACTGTTTCCCTTTTGCCCCAGGCAGCAAGCCAGATCCTCTCTTGGACAGCTTGTGGAAGGAGGTAAAACTGAACAGAAGGAGGCAGATATTTCTGCAGAGAAGGCTGTTTTCTCAGTTAAGAGGCCAAAGTCCAGTATTCCCGGAAATGAAGTTGGTCGCCCAGAGGCACCTCCTCTACCGCCATCTCCAGAACTTGCTTCAGCCAAAGGTCTCTCACTATTTCCCAAATAGGCCCATGCATGACCCCATGTCCAGGCAAAAGCATTTTTGCAACTGCCTTTCCCCAGGCACAGGCTGTGTTTGCAGCCAAGGCTCTCACCTTCTTTTTCAGCTGTGCCTCCCTGGACAGGATGGAAGGAGGAGAGGGATCTTGACATCATTACCACGGGATGTCAGGCAAAAAGCGAGGGTCACCACCCCACCAAGCTTAGCTGGAGAAACCAAGGCAGAAAGTGCCCTGCTGTGCCTAGGCTGAAGGAAGCACAGTCAGAAGAACCCACTGCTGCTGAGTCTCCATCCCCTGCTGTAAAAGTCCAGCCAGAGGGAGTGCAGCAGCCCCCAGAATCCTGCAGTGGGGAGCGTTTCCCTCACACGTGCATGAGGGGTCATGCACTGCTGCCTCACCAGCAATGGCTGCACCGGGCTTCCCACAGCCAGACAGCCAGACAGGTCCCAAGCAAACCTCACGTGGCATTTAGTGCCCCTGTTTTGAATGCCCCTGCTGCAGCATATTATATTTACTAGCTAGGGACAAAGACTGACACGCACCTGGGGACTGAGAATTAGGGTAAACCCAGAAATATTCCCCACTCAAAAAAATGCCTGCTGTCATTACAGAGAAGAAAGGTCTATTAAAAGAATAAGAGGCCACTAAGAGGTTGGCACTAGTCCAACATGAACATGTTTGAGGGTCCCAGAAGATCCCTTGGAAAATCACCTTTGAAACTGAGGTGAAGGCAAAGAGAAGATGAATAGGAGAGGTAAAAAAAGAGAAATCCGAATTTTCCCTTGCAGTTCCATTTTAGGGTCAGCCGTAGGATCTAGAACAGGAACATTGCTGTGTTTAAGAGTGCACACCATGCAGTTTTAATGGTCACCTTCTTCTCGCTCTTGGACTGAAGGACTCGTGTAGCTCTGAATAAATGTCCCGCAAGGTCTAAACCAGTACACAGCTCCAGCACTGCAATGCTACCCTCCACAGCCTGTCTGAACAGGAGCCCTCAACCCTGGGCTTATCTAGAAAGGCATATATTTTTAGTCAGAGAGAATTACCCTTTTTTTCCAGATTAATATGAAGGAAAATTCTGAGTTTAAATGAGTGCTAACCACAGTGTCCAACACATGGCAGTGGCATATCAGTGAGCTGCTCCAAGGTGGTACTTTCCAGAAGGCATATCCTGGCCATTGGTCAACAGCAGTCTAAATTTTCATTTAAAAAAACCCAACAAAACCAAACAGCAAAAGAACCCGTAGAGGTGCAACACGCTGAGTCTAAATCTTTGCATGGCTCAGCACCACAAGACCACCCTTGCCAAGCAGGAGTGCTCATGCCCACCTCCTCGAAGCATGGGGTGAGTCAGGATATTGCTTCCCTGCACCATCCCTGACAAAGATCACTCTCCTCACCTACCTCACAGGCAACCCATGGGACTCCTGTAAGATCCCTTTGGGGTCAATGCATGCATTTAAGCCTGAAAACTGGCACCCTCCCCACCCCTCATTTGCAGGCTCCTGCCGCTGGCTCCTTGTCCGCCATCTGCCAGCAAGAAGCCCTCAAAGTTTTTCTGTGACGCATCTCAGACTCCACTGTGTGTGGCACAAATCCATCGCGTGTCTTCAGATTTTAGGAAGCTGAAAGGGCTCAGGAACCAGGAAACTATGAGATCCAAAGATCTCAGTGCTGCAGGCATTTTCTGCTGATGCAGAGGCATTCTCCCAGTTTTCCTGTCCCTTTGGGGAACTCTGAAACTTTCCACTTCTCTGCCTGTCGAGCTGCAGCAAAAGCCCCTCCTCATGTATAGCCAGCCAAAAGTAGAAGGAATTTTCTCCCTTGCAGGCCCAAACCTTAGGAGAGAAAAAAAACCCCACTTTGCTTTTAATGCTGCACCAACCTGAGTAAATTCAGGTCCATTCTATATAAAATGGAATGAAACAGAGAACCAGAAAAGGTCAGCAGGCACTGCTGGCAGTGCCGAGACACTGGCAGCTTCTTTTCCCACTTCCTTTTCTGTTACTATTTTCTCTGCCAGATGCTCCTCAAACTCCATGTTTGCAGCAGATACCTGCACGGGCTGATAATCTGCATACTGCATACAGCACCCTGAGCTGCCACAGCTGCTGGGACGATGCTCCTGGGCTACCTGAAATCCCCTGGGCCCTGCTCCAGCCCCCCTCTCACTTGCCCCCAAACTCCCCTGGGGACTCTGCTTTGACCCAGCTCTACATTCATGATTGCCCTGAAATCCCCCAGAGCTGCAGCTCAAAAACTACCACTGCTTTCTTTCATAGGCAAGGGGGGATTTTTTCTTTTTCCTCCTCTTCGTGTAAGAGGCGCTGGCACCTTCTGGAGTGAAGTGGGGCTCTGGAGACCTGGCGTACAGCACCTCAAGTGATGGCTGGTCGCCACAAAAGTCTGGCCTCCACCACACGCAGCCTGAGCCGTGCTCAATCCTGTTCCTTCCTGCTGCTGCACCTTCCTTGCCCACAGCCACCTCCCAGTCAGCGCCATCATGAAAAGCAAAGGACAAAGCAGGGCAACCGCATCACCAAGCACCTCAGGACTCAACGCAAAGCGGCACCAATGGATGTAGCAAAGAATATGCCCAAACTTTGGAGGAGGCTGGGCCCACCTGGGGGCTGAGCTGGGCCGTGCTGGGGGCTGCGGGGAGAAAGCTGCCCCAAAACACCGAGGGACAGGGCCAGATCGCGGGCAAAAACTCTGGCTCTGGAGGCTGCAGTGAACGACTGATGAGAAAGGATGGGGAAAGAGAAATGAGAGCTGAGAAAGGATGGGAAACCCCCAGCCCAAACATCTCCCCTCCATCCAGTGTGTCCCCCCCCCAGGGCAGAGCCCGGCTGAGCTCCCGGGCAGGGCTCGGCCAGGAAGAGGGAGGCTGCTCAGGGAACGAGTGACCCGGTTCAGTGGGAACAAAACCCAAACAGAACAGGGGAGACTCTGCCAGCGCCTTTCATTTTTTATGCATGTGTGTAACATATGTATTTATTTCTTCTAACCCAGAACTTTCCGTTCCCATGTGGCAGCTTCATTTCCGAGTTCCCAGTTGTGCAATTGACACGATCCCGGAAAAGGGAGAGCACACCCGGCTCCTTGCCGAGCTCCGGGCGCCGCGGGGCCCTGACGAGGTGGTGGCGGGGCCCGGGGGAAGGGAGGCAGGGCCCG